ATATACTTTGGTAACCTCTACATATGTATCATATTTCATTTATATTAATACCATAGTTCCAGGGAAGATAACTGACCATCCTAAGATTCCAGATGCTCTTATAAAAACAAATGAAGGCCAGGCTATATATGACAAACTAACTCTGACCCACAATTTCTGCAGTGACCAGTCCAGGAAGCCAAAGCACAATCTCTCTATCAACCTACCTAGCACTTGATCAATGGATTGCTGGCTTTCCTATTTATTAACCCACACATGTAATTCTGGATCAACCAGAGAAAGTCGGATATGTCCCCTAACCAGTCACATAGGAAGCTCCTCTTCTGTTTAGCCCACCTACACATTCTCGTGCCAGCCAATCAGAACTTCTAATCAGAGCATACCTAAGGCTTTGCCTTTTTCCTGTAAAGCTTTCCTACTCCTCTGCCGGTTTCTTCTTTTAAAATGTGATTTGGGTAAAAGCTTACAGAGCAAATTCATCTTCCATACAGCAGTTCACATACACTTTGTCTCATGACATTGACTGTAATCTCCCACAATGCAACAGTTCTCCTCCTTCCTCCCCATAGTCACCTCTTCCCTGTGTCCTTCCCTCCCATGCATTCCTGCCCCCCAGGCTGTCTCCCTGTGTGTACACAGCCCTTCTATCTTCCCATGATTGATATCTCCAAGGAGTGTATCTACCTAATATAAATGTTCAGGTTATGAGCCTGTCTTTTGTTTGGCTGGTAGCCACAGGAGTGGGTTGAATTCCAGACCTGAAGGGCATCTTGGGACCATAGTCTCAGTGGTTCCACCAGGCTTTATCAGACCAGCAAACTTGGTCCCTGTTTTTTCTTTGAGTGATTTTGAGTTTTGTTCCACATTGTTCTCCCACTCTACCCAGGATCTGCTACATAAAGCCCCCTCTGAGGGGTTGACAGTGGTAGCTGGGCACCATCTAGTTCTTCTGGTCTCGTAATTGTATAGGTGGAGGATCACATGGTGTGCGGTCCCTTGTTGTCTCTAATTTTTAATGTAGAAAGTGGGTCAGTGAAATAATTTACCATTTCTGTCAGTGTGATAGAGGAGTACGGAAATGATAGTGGGGATCCCTTGCCTCTTTCCCCACTAATTGCAGTAGCTCCAAGACCTTGAGAAATTCCTATAACTCTTTTGGGCCTCAGGGTCTTTACCTGTAAATGTAAGGGCTTGAATTAAGTGTTAAATGAGGCTCTATTCTATTTGCATCTGTGAGAAGATGCCCCAAAAAACCAGATCCCTCACTAAATTATGTGTGCCATGAAAGGACCATGTCTGTTTTGCTTACCATTGTATTCCTAGCACCTCTAGAATGCCTGACCTATAGAAGATGCTCAGTGAATGAATGAATGGATCCTTTATAACAAGGAAGGCATACACTAGGAATTGATATCAGGACACCAATGGCTTTTCGATACATCTCCTGTAACTAAGCTTAAAACTCAGAGTTTCTAGTTGTAGATATTATTGTTACCTTTTTGTTGTTTATCAGCTCAAATAATGAACCTTTTTAGTATTTCTTCTCAAACTTCTTCAAGAATTCATGATCTGTGTTCAGTTCCAGTTCATTGCCATCCTTTATAGCCCTAGGTTCCTATCATCATTTAGTAAATCTACCGTGCAAAAGTGAATACTCTATTTTTGAAAGCACAGTGTATAATTACACAACATCTTAGCACCATCTGCGAGGTGCTGTGCCATTTTCTCTATTTCTCAAAGCAACATCGCATACCTCATTTTACAAATGAGGAAACAGGCAAGGAGCATTCCTTGGGCTCCTAAGTTCCTGCTTGAAATACAACACTCTATCTGACTGAGCTTCGCTGTCAGGCTTCACACATCCTCTAGTCCAGCAGCCTTTTGGAGAGGTGAGTCTGTTTCCTTACAACTCACAGGATCCCTAATGGCTTTCCTGTCAGTACATCTCTGAAGCTTTCCATTCTCATTCCTGCCTTGTTTCATTCTGTTCTCTCCTTTAAATAACTGATTCCTGAGGAAAAGTAGTTATAGCTAACCCTGTGCCTAGCCTTGTAGGGCACATGTGGTCCCTGCCTTAGAGATACAGAGAACCAGTTGGAAATATAATCCATTCATTCACTGATCACGTATTCCATGAACAACTCCTCCGTACTCCTCCTTTGTGTAGAGAACACAAGATTGCATGTGCAAGATAATGTTGGGGTAGGAGAAGATACTACATAACTTAGACCTAAAATAATGTTTTAAATACTAAGAGTTTTGTGTAGGTTCAAAGAAATTAGAACATCAGAATTGGCTGATAGATTAGGCTGTCTTTCAAAATGGGTATATTCTGTTCCTGAAACCATTGTGAATTTTTTTTCTTCCTGGGCAACTTTGGTTTACTGTCTGGTGTTTGTCTTGTCAGCAGAACTGGTAACTTGTATAATAAATTTTGTACCTAAAGTGAGAAAATCGAATACTAGCATAATTATTTACTTCTCAAACTTAAGGAAAACAGTGTTTATCTTTAGTTGAAGTAAGAAAAGTAGGCTTTTCAAGAACATACTAACTTCTGTTTAAATTGGGGCATCATCCCATTTCCCCAATATTTTGCCAAAACTTTTATGGCAGAAGACTGTTGAGAAAAAGGGCAATGATGAAGGGACAGTGTTAAGAACTGCTAGAACATCCATTGTGTTGGGGAAATGGTTTTCTGTGTCAAATCTTCTAACTCTCCCTTTCTCATGTACTAAAAACTTTCAAACAATAACAAGCTTAGCTATTTTCTGTGTCTGAATGTCTGAAAACATTTGATAACAATTGAGTGTGGGTTGCCATGATGTCACCATCAAAAAATCACAAGAGAGACTCTAATGACTTCTAAATATAACCTGCCAGTTCTGTACTTATTTCATCTATTCAGGAAAAGCAGTTGGCATCATGTAAGAAAGAAATTGTGAAAACCTGCTGTTTCTAGTCAGTCACTGGCAGAACTTTGCAGTGGAGCTTCAAACCGGTTCATTCTGGTTCAACCCCTTGGTAAGAATTTGGCTGTCCAGCCCTGAAAACACTGAATCATAATCTACATTTCAGTAAGATCCCCGGGGTGATTCTTATGCATATAAAAGGATCTTGTTAAAAGGTAGAGTTTTATTCTGTACATCTGGGGTGGAAAAATGCAAATTCTTAACTTGAGTGTTGAACTGGAATGAAGAGGTTCGAAGCCCTGCTTTGCAGCGACATTGCTTTATAAACTTGACATCTGTGATGGGGTCATCCAGCTCACATGTTCACTCCGAGCCCAGAACTCAAGAGTTTTGGGATGCATCTGAGAAGCCAATTGGCCAAAAGATTGTTTGTTCTTATCAGACAGAAAACATGATAATTTAGCTAATTCTACTTTGTATAATCATTAAGAATTAACCATACTTCTGAAAATGTTTTAGGAGTAAACAATGAATCAAACAGATATGGCAGTGGGTCACAGAGGCACTGACCATGGTTAGCTATTTTGTTAGTTGGCACTTAACTGGAGCTTAACTCATTCTCCTCCCCCATATTGCAAGGTAGCTGGACAGAGAGCGGTGGTTCTAACCCATAGCTATAAGAGGACAGCCTTCATAGTGCAACATCTTTGGTTTGTCCTACTTTGAATAAAGTGCCCTCTCTGAAATCAGTTGTCTAGATAAGAAGAAAAAGGCAAGCCTGGCTTTTTTGTTTGTTTGTTTGTTGTGAGGGTAGGCTGAGCCCTGGTGATGCAGTGGTTAAGTGCTCAGCTGCTAACTGAAAAGTTGGTGATTTGAACCCACCAGCTGTGCTCTGTTGGATAAAGATATGGCAGTTTGCTTCTGTAGAGATTTACAGCCTTGGAAAATATATTGGGAAGTTCTACTCTGTCCTTCAGGGTTGCTGTGAGTCGGAATTCGACTCCACAGCAATGAGTTTACTGTAGATAAGTCAAACTGATTTAAAAAAACAAACAAACAAACAATTACTTTGCTCTCTCAGAAGCACACGGGGAATATTCCAGTTGGCTTCCTTACTTAAAGCAATAGCTCAATGTACTTATTTCATCAGCTTAGGAAAAGTAATTGTCACCATCTATGAAAGTACTAAGGATCTTTGGTGGCATGATGGTTAAATGTTCAGCTGCTGTCTGAAAGGTTGGTGGTTCGATCCTACCAGCTCGCACCCTCGAAGAAAGATGTGGCAGTCTGCTTCCACGAAGATTTATAGCCTTGGAAACTCCGTGGGGCAGTTCTGCTCTGCCCTGTAGGGTCACTATGATTCAAAATCAACTGAAAGGCAACAGGGATGAAAGCGTTGATTAGGAAAACCTGCCCTTCCTTGTTGGTCACTGAGAAAGGCATGGAGCAAGCATTGTAAGCCGTTAGGGCTACTTTTGCTGTGCACTGTTAGCTTTCCTTGGGTAGTGGTTTGTTCAGTTATTTTATTCATTTATTTTTAAAATTTCTTGTTAAGCCCCAGAGTTGAGTACATTTTCACTCAGATCTGACATTTAGGGTTATTCAGGGGTTTTATAAACCCATATTGGTAATTTGTAAATGTAGCTCTGAAGAAGAAATGTATTTGCCAGAGCAGCTTCAAGCCCATGATAATCTAACTAATGCCTACCAACATGTTTTTGGTTGTATTTTCCTTTTGGGAAACATAGTTCTTCTTGTTTGCAACCCCTGGTACTCTATCCCACCTTCATTGTTTTTCCTCTTTTTTTCTTATTTGAAGAACCATTTTTAAGAGTTTCAGAGCTATGACCAAGGAAATATGGGAGAAAAAGACTTGGCTGATTAAAAGCATTGATGATGATTTCTGACTTAAAAGACTTTTTCCTTCATTTTAGATGGAAGGTTATGTTTTTAAGTGTTTGCTTTCTCTGGCATGTGACTTGACATGAGTTCCAAAAACAGTTGGTCAGTTACAAGGTTTGCAGAAGGAAGCTCATGCTGCCTGTTAACCAGCTGTCTTCTCTCTGTGCCTCCTCCCTCTTCTGATTTCAGTGGTGCTTCATGCCCCGCCTCCAACCAAGATCAAACGGGAACTGCACAGCCCCTCCTCTGAGCTGTCATCCTGCAGCCATGAGCAGGCTCTCGGTGCTAACTATGGAGAAAAGTGCCTCTACAACTATTGGTAAGGGAGCGGGTGAGCTAATACCCAGAAAGGCTCAGGAGGTAGCTGTTATGCAGGCTGTTGAAGCGTTGTTCAGCTGGCACTCTGGGGTAGAATACCGCTGTCTTTCATAGCAACATAATCCTGTAGGTATAGACCAGTGCACTTGGAGCCATTGTGCTGCACGTGAACTACAGAGCTGTAAAAGCATTGTGGCTCTGCAAGGAAGTAAGTTTGTGTGGTACAGAGCCCTCCTAGGGAACCAGCCTCAAATACTGGGATATTTGATCTGTGGCTTTGAGGGAGGGAGTATATACTTCTTCATGTCTATCATATGTTAATGTGAACTTTAAGCACCAAAGAAGTAATCTGCAAATCAGAATATATGAAAAAGTCCTGATGCGTGTGCCCTTTACTTAAGACTATCCAGGCCCCAGGAATGAAGCTTTAATTTTAAATCATTCTTTGCTCTAGAAGATAAACAAAGATTTGCCTGGAACGGGGAGGAGAAGAGTTGTTAATTCACGTGATATTATGGCAGAAATGTATCCTCTAACAGACTCTGACTAATTCCAGTGAACACTGGGAGAGGGGGGCAGAGAATGCCTCCCATAGCATAGATTCTCCCCTCAACCATCCCCCCTACACACGCACACACAGAATTCTTTTTAGAAAGGGGGAAAAAGGAAACCGGAAGCAGAAGCTAAAATTATCTTAGAGAAAAATCACTAGAAGTGTAAAACAAGTCCCCGTGACGCACTGTGTTTGTCACTTTTCAGAGGTACAGATATTCCTTCGGGGCTGCTAGCAATTTAACGACGTTAATGCTGTCATATCCTGGCAACAGTGGACTGCAAACTAGGGTTCTACAGACCAGGTAACTATGCTAATGGCTTGACTGCAGCTTAATGGTTTCTTCTCTTTTTCTGTTCACAGTGCCTATGATAGAAAGCCTCCCTCTGGATTCAAGCCATTAACCCCACCTACCACACCCCTGTCACCCACCCACCAGAATTCCCTACTTCCCCCACCTCAGGCAACTCTGCCCGCCTCTGCACATGCCCCTGCAGCTGTCCAGGTACAAGGTGTGGGCCCCGCCCCCGCCCCTCACTCGCTTCAAGAACCTGGACCACAGCAGCAAACCTTTGCGATCCCCCGACCGCCACATCAGCCCATGCAGATGCCAAAGATGATGGCTGAAAACCAGTATCCATCAGAACAGAGGTGGGTGCCTCCTTAACTGCCTCCTCCATCACCCCTCTCCTTTCTCTCATTGGGAAAGAGCACACAGTTAGTCATATTTGCCAAACCCATTACCATCAAGTCGATTGTGACTCATAATGACCCTATAGGACAGAGCAGAACTTCCCCATAGGGTTTCCAATGCTGTAGTCTTTACAGAAGCAGACTGCCTTATCTTTATTTCACTGACCCGGGCATAGGTTTGAATTGCCACCCTTTCTTTAGCAGCCAAGTGCTTATCATACTTAGCTGGTACCTATAAAGTTCTCGTTCCATTGAGGCCTCTTGTGAGGTAAATATGAATAATGTGGCCTCTTTATATACCATCCTATTTGTGAGGTACTGTAAATGGTTTATAGACATTACAGCATCCTTATGAAGCAGGTAGGGTAGAGGTAATTAGTACTATCCTATTGTTACAAACCTAGAAGAAGAGTGACTTGCCCAGAGACGCAATCTCCTGATTCATTTTGGCCAAGGGCAGGTTTCCTGGCTTCTCACTGGATACCTCCTTCTAGAATTAAACCTTGTTTTATGCTGCCCGTAATTACTTTATTACTACATTACTTCTATATTAGGGGAGATTGCTGAGTTAAAGCAAGTGTTATTACTCATCTGATTTTAACACATTTTAACAGTATGAGATTAGCTAAGGATCTTACTTAAAATTATCTACTTTTGAGATTGAAATCTCCTGGTTACACTCCATATAGTTCTATGTTCCTAATAAAGATGTCGAGGCATCAGGAGTAGCTTGTCCAGTCATTCATTTCACTAAACAAAATTATAAAGGAGGCCCACTCTGCCAACATCAAAATTGACCTGTTAAGTCCTTTGTCTTCTAAGTCCATTGTCTGCAGTGTTGTAGAATTTTGGAGGCTTGTGGCCTTCCTTTATATAAGACATTCTGGGAGTGTGTTTTTATTACTATTTTTAAAAAAAAGTCTCTGGGATGAGGACGTACCATAGGAGGAAGTTGTGATGTTTTGTTAGTGATACTACCAAGGGCTGCAAGATAGTAACCGTTGGTTTTCTTTTCTGTCTTTCTTGCTCTGCATTTGGTGGTGCAAGGAAGGGGGGATATATGAGTGTACTGTCCCCAGGCCTAGTCCAACCCAAGTGCCTATCAGTATTTACTTGGAAATTACATTATTTATAGGTGAAATGCAGAAAAGAGTAAGTACCTTTGTCTGGTTTTGCTCCCCCTCCTACCTTGCTGAGAAAGTCACCATAAAGAACTGCATAATTTGGCCAGATAATGTTTCAGCCAAAGACCATGAATACCTTTGCTATATAGGGTGAATGTTGATGGGGGCTGGCTCACTACTGGGTTTCCACCCTGATTTGGAAATCTGGATTTTTATGTAATTTTCAGATTTTTTTTTTTTTAAGTTGGCAACTAATTCAAATTAAAAATAAGAACACTCTGCAGACTAAACAAAATCTCTCTGTGGGCAAAATCATCCTTCAGGCCTGCCAGTTTGTGCTCTTGGGTCTAGATACCATTTTTATCCCAGTAGTTTTTTGGTTTTAATTTTTTAAACAGCATAATTAGCAAGGAGTGGGCTATGTATTCGGTATTTATACTTAGCAAACTTTGCATTCCATATATCACACGTAAAAGAAAATTACTTCTACTAATATTTCCCACTCAGTCCTGGTTTCTTATCCTGGGGGCTTGTGTAAGAATATTGTGTTAACAGTTTGAGTGAATTGGGAGAAAAATACCCTTAATTCCACTGAAGGTTATTTATCCTCCTGCAGATCTGGCAGACAGGGTAGCTTAGTATATTTAGCGAAATAGGCTTGTCTCCAGGCTGCCAGGCTCCTCGTGAAAGAGAGAGGTTTGGATTCCAGAGATATATGAGCATCTGCCCTCAGGTGTCCAAAGGCACAGAGGCCTGGAGTCAGAAGTAGATAAATCTTTTTTAGGGTGATCCTCCTTGAAGTCTGCCTGTTCATCTTGGACTTACCCCCCTTACACTCCATTCTGCCTTGAGGAGTGATGGGTCTGAAATATAAAGACCTCACACACACTGGGGCAATGGTGAGAATTGGGGTGAACGGTGAATTATTCTGTAGGCTCCTGGATTGATAAAATTTAAAAAACATGGGCTTTTAGGCTTTTACACTAGGGTACTGTTGTCTCAAGCTTTTTGGAATGTATTAGTGAGTCCCTGCTCAAACTGCCACTGAGTCTATTGCAACTCATGGCAACCCCCACTGGGTTTCTGAGGGTTTATGGAAATAGATTGCCTCATCTTCCTTCCGCGGAGCAGCTGGTGGGTTTGAACCTCAGACCTTCCGGTTAGCAGCCAAGTGCCTTATCCACTATGCCACCAGAGCTCCTTGAGTCCCTGCTATTGTTGTTATGTGCCGTTGAGTCGACCCCAACTCATAGCGACCCCTCCTTGCATTTCTGAGGCAGTATCACTATGGAAATAGATTGCCCCATCTTCCTTCCAAGGAGAGTGGCTGGTGGGTTTGAACCACCAGCCTTCTGGTTAGTAGTCAAGTGCTTTAGGCACTGTGCTACCAGAGCTCCATTTCTGTGTTCTGCCCCAGAGGTTGAGCTGGTGGGTCTTGAGCGGGGCCTAGATGTATTATCCTCACACTTTGAGAAATCATGGTTCAACTGTCTTTTCTACCTCATCCCTGTTCCAGCCCTTTTTTTTTTTTTAAAGTATTAGGTACATCATCCATTGCCCTCAAGTTGAATTCTGACTTGTAGAGACCCTGTAAGACAGAGTAGAACTGCCCCATAAGGTTTTCAAGGCTATAAGTCTTTAGGGAATCAGACTGCTGTTTCTTACTCTTATGGAGTTGCTGGTGGGTTTGAACTGCCCACCTTGTGGCTAGCAGCCCAGTGCTTAACCATTGTGCCACGAGGACTCCTATATCACATAAAAACTTTTGGAAAGTGCCCAGTATACTGAGTGTTATCGTTCCTGCACTTGTCTCTTAGTGAGGGTATCCGTGTGATACCTGTGTGGTACAAAATATGTCAGATATGATTTGTTGGTAGACACTAGATAACACACAGTTAAATGAAACAACCTAAAAAGCCTGGTTGTGTGTGTGCCATCAAGTTTAATAAATCACATGCTTAATAACTTTTTTGCCTGCCCCGAAGTGGGCTAGACTGCTTCTGTTAGTACTGTAGTTTGTTCTTTGCTTTTTATGAAAATTAGACAGCATATTACTTCAAAACCAGCTACCGAACAAAAATACATATTTTATAGTTCAGAAAGTAATCTTATTGAGGCTTTTAATAGTCTGTGACCAAGGCAGAGTAGAAAACCACATCTCACAGATAAGAAAATCATGCCTAAGAACAGGTAGGACTTCCTCTGTTGCAGAGTCTGACGTTTAGAAATCAAAACATAAACTTAACAACTAAACTATTTGTTTTAGTTATAATTGAAGGGTGTGTGTGTGGGAGGTGTTGCTAACACTGACTAATTAGTGACTAACATGCATGAATGTCTGCTAAAAGCTAAATAAGTGACCTTGAAAAATGTGTTGACCTTGACCCATACCAGAGCTTTATCCCTCTCTTAACCTACAAAATCCTACTACATTTCTACATGATTCGTCTAAACCAGTCTTATGTTGTTGTTGTTGTTGTGTGCCGTCGAGTCGGCCCCGACTCATAGCGACCCCTCCTTGGGTTTCCGAGGCAGTATCACTACGGAAGTAGGATTGCCCAACCTTCCTTCCGAGGAGTGGCTGGTGGGTTTGAACCGCCAGCCTTCTGGTTAGCAGTCAAGTGCCTTAGGCACTATGCTACCAGAGCTCCTAAACCAGTCTTATAGCGCATACCTTTTTTGTTTTGCTCACAGTGTGGCTTATCTCTTCAGCTGAACAGAGTAAGTTCTTTGAAGTTTAAAAAATAAAAAACCAAAAAACACCATTTACGCCTCTTTCTTCAGACCTCATTTAGCAGGGTGCCTTACTTGTGCTCAATACATGTTTGCTGATAGTGGTAATAGTTTGCTAGGATTACGTTTTAAACAACTAAAATATAATCTAGTCTAAAATATATCCTTAGTGGTCTACATAAACTTAGTATATAGTTCTTCACAACTCAGAATTTATTTTTAGAAGATAAATAGTATGTTTGAAAACAGTGATTGTTGTTGGTGCTTTCCTTCCCCCCACATAAGGAAAAAAAAAATTAAAACATGTAATTTGGCATGTTTAGACATGTTCCATTTATCCTTAAAGACCAGCTGCTGCTTGAAGAGGAGGAGTGCTTTTATTTCTGCCATCCAAATCTTACATGTTTTTTTCATCATGTTTCTTATAATGTTTACATGTGCTAGGTAGAGAAACCCAGAAAACACTACTATATTAGGCCCATACTCCTCACCATGTGTATTTTTGTCTTCTATTATACATTTCTCAGTATATCACTAGTTGAGGAGGCCCTATGAAGCTCTGAAATTCAACTGAAGAAGCTCAGCTAAGAAGTATATAATGTAGAAATTTTAGAATACACTACTCTCTTAGTCAGCATCACAGAAAGAAGCAAAAACTTTGGAAAAAGACAAAATTTAAGAAAGTACTCTTGCTAATACAATACCGCTTTGCTGCTTAATAATCCCCAAGGGCGTCAGTATTGTAGTAGGCTATCACGCTGTCATTGATAGTTACAACATAGACCTTGACTCATCAAGAAAAGGTTAGTTATGTACAGTATCTTCTGAAAGAGGAAATCTCCTAACCTGTTCAAGAACATTTTGTCTCTCAGTGGTTATGATTAAGACTTTCAAGCTTAAAAGAGATGAGCTTAAGTATTTTGGAATATTGATTTATAGAGAAGTACTCATTCCCTAAAAGCTCTAGAGAAATTGAGAGATTTAATATACTTAAGTTCCTCTTTTTTGTCCACTTCTCCCTTAAAGACCATCCCTAATTTTTGTCCTTCAAATTTTGTAGTGTTTAGAGAGGGTAGAACTTGGCTGCGAGTCACATTGGTA